CAATGAATCAATGAATCAATGAATCAATGAATCAATGAATCAATGAATCAATGAATAAATCATCTAGCAAGCTAACATAATTTCTTGGTAAAATATTACCACTATCTCGATTAAATAAGGTGCTCGTATCCTTAGCTATACTGCATGCCTCCCACCACTTCTGTTGATTCCATTTCGACTCTTTTGATAGGATTTTAACGCTGTTCCAGTCAATGAAATGCCCTGTCTCATTCACATGGAAAGCCAAGGCAAACTTGTCCGCTTTTTGAAGACGCACTGCCGCCTGATGTTCTTTCTTTCTTGTACCTAAAGATCTGCTGGTTTCGCCAATATACTTGATGTCACATTCCCCACAGGGGATAGAGTATACAACTCCAACCTGTTTATCCAATGATACCTGATCTTTCGGGTGAGAGGATTTGTTTCAGAGTTACCTCTGGCTTTATGCAACACCTGATGTCATGGCGTGATAACATTCTACATATCCTCTCAGCGGTACCTTTAAGATAGGGGAGAGTTGCGAAACTTTTAGGTTCGTTTGTCTCTTCAGGTCGGTCTGTTTTCTTGTGAATGATAGAGTGTTTTGTGATGAACTTCAAGGGATAGCTAAATTCTGCTGTAAACTTTTTTCAAGGTGGTGTTGCTCATCTTTCTTGGTGTTTGGATCAGTAAGCAGTACTTCCTTACGATGGGCCAATGTCCGTACAACGGCAGCCTTGTGCGAAGAAGGGTGATGAATTTTTTTTTTTTTTTTTTTTTTTCTTAACGGCTAACAAAATATTCTGTAACTGTACACATACAAAGTTAAAACGAACACATACCTTTAACAACAGAAAAAGAAGAAAAAAGGAGTAAATAATTATTTACACAAGGACGCTACATCCAAAACAAAGAAATGAATGAAATAAGTTAAATAAATTCAAGGAGTTTGTTCCATTTATTGTTGTGAAAATTCAGTTTTTCCTTTTTCAATAGCTATCCTTAATTCAATATAATAGGTTATTTTAACTTTATCAATGAAGGCAGCGTAGGAAAATTTATGATTTTTTAACTACTTTGATATATATATATATAGTATTTTGCTAGTAAAATTAAATTATTAACTAAAATTTCATCTGCAATACCAAGAACAATGTCCAACTCTTTAAAATCAAGATACTGAATTTTTGATTTTCTAAATAAATTTACCTTAACAGGGGACCAAAATAATTCACCTTTTCTGCGATAGCCGTCGCGTCGTAAACACTTTGTTGGATTGTGTTACGGTCACCAAAAAGTTTGGACATTGTTCTCGGATTTCCATACTTATAGTACACTCAGCAAAATTACTCGACTCTGATTGGTCGAGAGGAGTACAATTATAGCGTTAATTGTACTCCGTAGGAGTATCGAATTAAGTCGCTATGGCAACACGGCCAAAACAATGTCAAAACAATTATTTTCTATCATTTTGTACTTAAAAAACATATAAATGAAATTTTAAAACCGTAAGAACTAATCTTTTTTATGCATTTCAGTTGCGCGATGGACTGAAAATCGGCCGCCAAATAGACAAAGATGAACGGAGTCGCTTCGCATTTTTTACTGAAATTTTGTTGAGTGAACTATAAACAAAAAATCGCACGATTTGCTCGTACAATTTGGAATTAATAGACACTCGTAATGTTTTGAAAGTTCTTTAACTGCACTCGCCTAAAGGCTCGTGCAATAGCCCACTTCCGAGATATGCTTCGCTTGTCACGCACAAAGGTTTCAGTATGAGGCTACGTGCTAAATGCTCAGTCATTTGTGACAGGCGGTAAGAATTAATTTAATTTAGCACGTAGCCTCATACTGACATCTTTGTGCGTGACAAGCGAAGCATATCTCGGAAGTGGGGTATTACAAGAACTTTCAAAACATTACTCGTGTCTATTAATTTCCAAATTGTACTCGAGATCGTGCGATTTCCTATACGAATTCACTGAGTTTAAAGAGAAAATTTAGATAGATTTCTTTAGTTAGCTCTCTTAACAGCAGTAAGAAAAGGGAAATTGTTGCGATCTTAAGCAAACTTATTGTAAACTAAGTAAACTAATTGAGATTCCAGTTCAAGCTAGAATATTTAATGATTTTAAGAGAAAATAACTTTTCTTAGAGTCTGAATTAGTTATAGAGAAAAAATTAATAATAATAATACTATACTTATCTTCTTTGACAGTTCACCACCAATAAAAAGTTGAAGTGTCTCAGCTTTGCTGAAGGATGCTTTTCCACCATTTTTCCTTGCCTCGAGCATTTTTGGGATTAATTTTTTCCTGATTTCTATAACTTGAGGAGGAAGGTCGACCCCAACTCCATATCCATCCTTATTGTTAGGTTCTGATGGACTTTCGAAAACTCGCTCTCGATCTCGATAGCGAAGGAAGCGCGCTATAATAGGTCTTGGTTGTCCATATTTACGGCGTCCGGTCTATTCTTATAACTGAATTCGGTGGAATTCAAATAAAACGATAAAAGAGATGTTATATCCTCTGTAGTAAGCCTTGTTCGTTCTTGGAGACTGGAATCTTGTACTAGTATATCATTAGCAGCCGCTACAGCTATGCAAGTGGGTGATGATGATGATTATGATGTTATTATCTGCGATGATGGTAGTGGTGTTGTTGGTTGAATGATGGTGATGATGTTGTTAATCATTCGTCGTGGTGGTAGTGTTGGTGGTGTATTGGATGATGCTATTGATGTTATTGGTAGGGTGATGGTGGTGTATTGGATGATGCTATTGATGTTATTGGTAGGGTGATGGTGGTGTATTGGATGATGCTATTGATGTTATTGATGGGTGATGGTGATGCTGGTGTATTGGATGATGTTGTTGATGTTATTGGTGGGTGATGGTGATGGTGGTGTATTGGATGATGCTATTGATGTTATTGGTAGGGTGATGGTGATGCTGGTGTATTGGATGATGCTATTGATGTTATTGATGGGTGATGGTGATGCTGGTGTATTGGATGATGTTGTTGATGTTATTAATGGGTGATGGTGATGCTGGTGTATTGGATGATGCTATTGATGTTATTGGGGGGTGATGGTGATGCTGGTGTATTGGATGATGTTGTTGATGTTATTGATGGGTGATGGTGATGGTGGTGTCTTGAATGATGCTATTGATGTTGTTGGTGGGTGATGGTGATAGTGCCTTTGATGTTATAGGTAGGGTGATGGTGATGGTGGTGTATTGAATGATGCTATTGATGTTATTGGGGGGTGATGGTGATGGTGGTGGTGTATTGGATGATGCTGTTGATGTTATTGGTGGGTGATGGTGGTGGGGGTGGTGTATTGGGTGATGCCTTTGATGTTATTGGGGGGTGATGGTGGTGGGGGTGGTGTATTGGGTGATGCCTTTGAT